CCTGTACTTGAGGACAGATGTACTGCTGTTAGCCGATGTGTTTGAGACGTTTAGGGGGACATGTTTCAAGCAGTATAAACTCGACCTCGCATGGTATTACACCAGCCCAGGTCTGTCGTGGGATGCCTTGCTGAAAAAGACCGGAGTTAAGTTGGAATTGCTCACAGATTACGACATGCACCTATTCATTGAGAAAGGCTTGCGAGGTGGGATTTCCATGGCAACCAAACGATACGCGAAAGCAAATAATCAATACGTGAAGGGCTACGACCCGAGCATGCCAACCAATCATATTCTCTACCTCGATGCCAACAACCTGTACGGCTGGGCCATGAGCCAGTATCTACCCACAGGGGGATTCGAATGGGCATCGCACGAGGTCGATGTTATGAGCATCGCACCAGATTCGAACAAAGGTTATATCCTCGAGGTTGACTTGGAATACCCCAAGGCATTACACACATCACACAACAGCTACCCCCTGGCCCCCGAACGTATGAGGGTTAACCCAGACTGGATGTCTGAGTACCAACATAACTTGTTAGGTGGGCGGGTGGCAGACGTTGAAAAACTCGTGCCCAACTTAATGAATAAGACCAAGTACATCGTTCAATATCGCAACCTACAGCTGTACATGTCGTTGGGTATGAGGCTGACCAAAATACACAGGGTGCTCGTGTTCAACCAGAGCCCCTGGATGGAGCCTTACATCAGAATGAACACAGACCTCCGAAAGCTTGCCACCAGTGACTTTGAGAAAAACCTCTACAAGCTCATGAACAACTCGGTGTTTGGTAAGACTATGGAGAACCTGAGGAAACGCGTGACCGTGAAGCTGGTTCGGTTGAATGAGGAAGACAAGCTCAGGAGACTGATAGCCACTGCAAAATATTCAACACCTGGTTGTACACATGAAGAAAAGCCACATAAAATTCAACCGGCCTGTTTATGTGGGGATGAGCATCCTCGATTTATCCAAACACCTGATGTACGACTTTTACTACAACGAACTTGAAAAAACAGTACGACGACAGGTGTGAAGTGCTGTACACTGACACGGATTCCCTTCTGATGGAGATTCGAACCGAGGATGTGTACGAGGACATGAAGAAACGCCTCGATTTGTATGACACCAGCGACTACCCCAAGGACCATGCCATACACAGCACGGTAAATAAAAAGGTCCTAGGTAAGATGAAGGACGAGTGTGCTGGCACGCCCATAGCCGAGTACATAGGTTTGAGGCCTAAGATGTACTCCATCCTGAAGGCTGACAATGGTGAGATCCGGAAGGCTAAGGGTGTTAAGAAGTACGTGGTGAAACAACACATCAAACATGCCAGATTCAAGGAAGCCCTGTTCAAGACCCGTACCTTCAGGCATAAAATGAACACGCTTAGAAGTGATGGGCATAGGATATACGGACTGACTATAAACAAGACGTCCCTGTCGCCGATGGACACTAAACGTTGGATAGCTATTGATGGGATAAACACGTATGCGTACGGGCATGAGAAAATTGAACCAAGAACATAGGTGTATATATCGGGGCGACATGTCACGGAACCAGAGAAAGTTTGAGGCTATTTACTACAGCCTGCGTGGGTACTGGAAAGGAGCTTGCGCTGTACATAAGCTGGCTAAAATGGCGCGAGAATCCCCGGAGGAGGCCAAAGCGTGGCTTGAAAAACAAGCCCTGTGGCAGATCTATTTACCGGCACCACGCTACGTGCCTAGAAGGAAGTTCGACATTAACATACCCAATAGCGTTCACCAGGCCGACCTCCTATTCCTACCCCACGATAAGAGGTACAAGTATGCCTTAACCGTCGTGGACGTGGCCAGTCGCTACAAGGAAGCCGAACCATTGACCGCAAAAGACTCGGCCCAGGTAGCCAGAGGATTCGAACGCATATACAAACGCAGTGTGCTGACGTGGCCAACAGAGCTGCAAGTTGACCCTGGGCGGAAGTTCATGGGTGTCGTGTCACACCTGCTTGATAAACACGACACCAAGGTCAGGCGTGGGACGGCAGGAGCCCATCGCAGCCAAGCAATAGTTGAGAGATTCAATAGGACTTTGGCTGAGCGCTTATTCAGACATCAGTATGCGAAAAAGATGGCCAACTCGGGGAAACGATCGACTGAATGGGTCGCGCGGCTACCTCAGGTGGTGTCGACAATCAACCATGAAGCCACCCGTCTCACCGGCAAGAAACCGGCAGACGCTATCAAACTAAAATCAATAGTGGCAGAGTCGGCTGCTCCATTGCGTGGGAAAGAGAAACAGATACCAGATAGGGCCCTAGTGAGGTACCTATACCAGCCGGGGGAACACGAGGGTGATAGCCATAAGCGAGCCACCGATCCTATATGGTCAGTCAAAACTTACAACATAGATAAAATGGACATCAAAGCAGATGAGCCGAACTTGTACTACTTGAGAGATGGGCCAGGGAGAGGGTTCGTTAGAGAGGAATTATTAGTCATACCGTACGGCACAATGTTACCCCCAAGCAAAATATTTAACACTTACCAAGTAATCCCAATAGTATCCTGTCAACACGACATGTCACATGATCAGGAAAGTGCTAGTTCGCTATCCCAGGATAGACCCGTTGAACCGAAATACTTCAGCTAAGTCCCTGGTAGCTCAGTCGGTTGAGTGTTGTGGCTGTGAGGCATACATGCGGGGGTACGTATCCCGCTGGTGTCTCAACTTTTTATAAGTCGGGAAATTAACGGGGGCTCAAAAGTAGTAGATGCAATGGTAGCAAAATCTAAGGGTCTGACAAAAGCTTTATTTGTAAAATAAGGCTTTGCAGAGGCTTTTGTTGGACTTGGTCCAGGACTATCATTGTATATACTACTAATATTGACTTCCTTGATTGGTTATTAAGTTCCAAGATTGCTAGTAATGTACAGAGTTTTTATTGCGTTGACAAAGACAGGAACATATTACCTTTTAAAGATCATGGTGATGCTGTACTAACGAAGCTTAAAGCATCATGTAACAGTTTCTTAGGAATGACCTTGGGAGTTCTGACGTCACTTGTATTCCTACTTTTCCTTATGTCGTCTATGGTATGTTACTGGCATCGATGGAAAATCATATACTGGTATTACGTCGTCAAGTTGAAACTAAGAAACAACAGAAAAGAATACGTCCGTCTGTTTGACTTCGATGTGTACGTATCCTACGCCGACCTTGACCTTGGCTTTGTCCGCAATGACATGATAGAGATTCTTGAGCACCTCCGTGGAGCTCGCTTGTATATTCGTGATCGAGACTCTCTTCCGGGCGCTCCCATATCAGAGAACATCATCGACAGGATCAGAAGGAGCAGAAAAACGATGCTTTTGTTGTCTCAGGCATTCCTGAAGCAGAAGTGGTGTAGGTACGAGCTACATATGGCCAACATGGAGGCTGTGTCCACTGGCCGATCTGTTATGGTCATCATCATTCTTGAGGACATTCCTAAGAACGACATTCCGCTTGAGATTCTGTATGATTTTCAAAGAAGTCGGTTTCTTGAATACCCTAAAGCAAGTAGCGACTTGGAACTGTTTTGGGCGAATGTAACTGCTGCTATTGAAGGATAGACTTGCAACTGGATGACAGTTTCTGATTTTTGTATATGTAAATATCGTTAGCGTAAAAATAATATTTAATCCCAGTCTCAGTTTAAGCAAATTCTCACTTGCAGTCATTTCAGTTTCTTGCGTATACTCATATATTTTGTTTGTTTTATACTAAAATGATGCATAAAGAAAAAGAATTAAAATACGAACTTGCAGGTGCTTATTTTCGGGCTGTTTGCTTGGTTGTTGCTTTTTTGCTGCACTCATTCACGGGCTAACAAACCAGTGGTCAGTATGATGAACGCCTTATGATGATCAACTAATAATCAATTTACCGACCCTGACTCCCTGTTCCCACTGGCACCTACATGACATGCACGTGCATCCTGAAATTGTGTATCACCCTGAGCTGAAGCCTATGACTGTAGGCTTTAAAAAAGCCACATCAATGGTACTCCACATGCATTGCTTTAAGCCACTAGACGACAAGAAAATGATAAGACTGACAAAAGCTCAACGGCACAACGCCATCGGCCGTTTACAAGGATGGGCATCGCATCGAGAGGTGGCAAGGCACTTCCGCGTGTCCAGATAGACCATCTCAAACCTATGAACCCGATACAACAATACTGGGAGTGTTAATGACAGACGGTCAGGTCGACCTAGAGTTACCACCGCCGCCCAGGATCGCTACATCCGGTTGAGACATCTTCACTCAAACACTACGGCTGCATCATCCACAATCGAAATCCCTGGACTGCGCCGAATCTCCGACCAGACAGTGCGCAATTGGCTATGGGAAGTCAGACTTTTTTGCCAGAAGACCAGTTCAACGTTACGTCGTTCCCTCCTTCAAGCATGACAATGCTCGACCTCACATTGCACGTGTTTGACAGGACTTCCTCCAGCAAAACAATGTTCAGATGGTACCTTGGCCTTCTCGATCACCCGATTTGTCCCCCATTGAACATCTATGGGACACTCTTGATCGACGCCACCTCAGACACTACAAGAACTGCATGCAGCACTTTAGCAAGAGTATCAAAACATTCCTCAAGCATTCGGCATCTCATTTCTTCTGTGGGTCACTGCTGCCAAGCTGTTATCGATGCTCATGGTGGTGGCCCCAGATACTGACATTTTACTCTGACCAATATACCAGTTCTCAGAAAAAAATATTGCAATTCATATCACTTGAAAAGTGTATTGTGATATACAGTGAAGCCTCGTTAATCCGGACGGTTGCGTTTCTCAGCAAATTCGTCCGGATTGCGAATAGTCCGGACTACTGAATCAAGACTCAAATTCAAGCAAGAGTTGCTTCTCTTACTATTACAAAAACGACACGACTCTGGATAAAACAAATCAGCATTTAATGTAAAGCTTATAAAACGATGAATAGCTGGCACAACAATAAATCATAGCAAAAAGTCTGTCATAGTTGTCTGTGTTCTTTTAACCTTTTTCATTGAATTTTTCACATCAATAATTTTACCGAGTGACATTTCATCGCCGATTGTCTCAAAATATGTCACCAGACTTTCCAGGTATTTCTCTGCCTCAGTCGAACTTGGTGGAACGGGGGCTGGATCCCTTTCCTCCTCTTCTTCTTCACAATCATCAGTTGGCTGGACAATGTCAATGATTGCGCTGTCCGTGAGCGGCTCGCATGTTGATTCACTGTCTTCTTCGGCGACATATTCTTCAGCGCTCACAACATCCGATGAAGGATACTCATTAAGGAGTAGTCTCAATTCCGACAACGCAATGCCATCTTCATCCACAGAATCTGAATCCCCTTCATGAGAAATAATGTCCACATGTCTGTAACAGTTGCTAATTGTTTGCGCACTAACTTCGTCCCAACTAGTTTTCACAAAGAGAAGTGCCTGTCTCACAGTCAGTTTCTGATCACGCCCTTCCTCAGCATAGGTGATGTAATGTCTCACAAGCGATCTCTTGTAGTATGCTTTAAATGTCCGAATTATCCCTGCATCCATCGGTTGAATATGTGACGTGGTGTTTGGTGGCAAAAAATGGAAGTTCACATTTCGCAAAGTTAGCGAAGCACACTTGTGACTTGCAGCGTTGTCGAGAAGCAAAATCACTTTAAGTCCACGTGACCGCATCTGTCTGTCAAAGTACAGCAACCAATCACAAAACAGCTCACTTGTCATCCACGCCTTTGTATTGTGTCGATATCTCACATAGACTTCTGGGTTGAAATCACGTCCAAAACACCTCGGTCGTCTTGCCTTACCGATCACAAATGGCTTTACTTTCACAGTTCCTCTTGCCACAGTTATTCTGTCCTTTGAACGTTTCACACCAGGCGTGGCTTTAGTTGCTAGGGTGTAATTTGGTCCTAATCTGTAAAAAAGTCCTGTCTTACCGTGCCCTGTATGTATATACACTGAGATTGGGTGCAAATAGTTTACAATGCAGGTCCTGTTTCAGATATTGCAATTCATTAAACTCATTGATCGCAGACATTTTATGATTTAGGAAATTCACTCAGAGTGAGTGAGTTGCGTTTTACGCAGCTTTTAGAAATTATCAAGCCATATCATGTGATGGAAACCAGAAATGGGCTTCACACATTGTGTCCATGTGGGCAATCGAACCCGGGTGTTCGGCGTGACGAACGAACGCTTTAACCACTAGGCTACCCCACCGTCTCTCTTTAACTTGAGATCCAAGGAACCATTACATATATATCGAGTTTATCACGCAAGATTTAACCCTGAGCAACTGCAGAATTGGACACCGGGGCGAATATCACTTGCAACGTTAAGGATCCTTTCAGGCTCTCGTTTAAGCGTGCTAATTGCAATGTTTATTCCCAATATACCATGCAACATTTTCCATATCAGCTTTCAATTTGTCAGAACTACATTTTGAAAGAAATAATCTTAATCATTTTAAAGTATTTACATATTTTCAACGTTTGGAATGGCCCAGTACTCGGTGAGACAATCTGACACACCTCGACCTTTCAAGTCACTGAAATACCTTAACACATCCTATAATTCTTTCGATATTCTTTTCAAGACAGATTTTCACATGAATATTTTGGGAATCTGCACACATTAGTAGAACTGAATATATCTGCTAATAATATAGCAAACTTGGATGACAATGTCTGCCTGGATTAAAATAAATTCGTGAGCTGAATTTATCCGATAACAACTTGGTTATAACATCGTTAAATTTGATCTGAAAAATATTTCCGAGCTAACACATTAAGTAAGCAAATAAGTGAGTGAGAAAGTGAGTGAGTGAGTGAGTGAGTGAGTGAGTGAGTGAGCGAGCGAGCCAGGAAGCCAGCCAGCGAGAAAGCAAGCAAGTTGAGGATGCAATAATTTTATGTGTATGAATAGAAGGTGTTTGTGGAAGAGTTTGGGGAGTGAAGGTCATGTCTCTTTGATCACTACAACATGTTTATACCATATTAATTACATTTATATCACTATGCTAGTGTTTCCTTCAATGTTACAACAGCTCAATAGTGAACACGATATGCATACTTGAGAGATTAAATACACAGATACAAACTTAACTGTGTTGTATAAGGAAGTAGATATCGGTTATAGTACATCCGCAAGGCTATTAACGGCAGTTTGAAATGCACAGTATCCTATCTAAAGTCATGTCATGTGATCATAGATGAATCATGTGTTTCCTTGTCTTTCGCGCTGTGGCTCATCCAGCACAAACAAACTTCCTCGTTACCCCCGATACATCACATGGCCACCCGGGTAAACAGATAGCAAGAGAAAGAAGAAAGGTGAGTGGTTGTGTTGTATTTGTTAATGTTTTATTTGTAACTTTTTAAGTCAACTGGACTAAACCCTGTGTAGGTCTGTCACAACATGGTGTTACACGGAAACCAGATGGGCTGTGCTTCTCAATTGTAAACACTTTGATATTAACTTCTTTGAGTGGCATTTAGAAGTTTGTGTGATGAACAACAGGGAACGTTCTATGAATATGCAACTTCTTTTATGATTAATGTAAGCGACGTTTCGGTGTAGATTGTAACACCGTTATGATCACTTGCTCTATAACAGTATTAGCATCTACACCAAAGGTCGCTAACATCAATGAGAAAGAAGTAACTGTTGTATATCCATAGAACTGCCCCCATTGCTCACTTTGATATTGCCTTTTAGTGTTCACATTGTTTCCAAATATATTCCGGATTTGCCGGAACCGTACTTACAATCATGGGTATCTTCCCAAAACTTCCACATCCCAAAACTTCCACAGCTTATAACAACAACATTTCTGGTTGACTGAACACGCTTTGGCCTACTGATTACCTCTGTCTGTAATGGTTTAGCCCATTAATCAGTAATGAATACAAACAATCACTTAGTAATAGATTGTATATTTTATTAAGGCATGGTTTTTAACAAAAATACATTAAAATAACAGTCTATGTAGAACATGTATATATATATATATATATATATAACTACATATTTATATAGAACTTCTGTCCTTTAATATCCAAGATTTCACAAGCACATTTGAGAGTCAAAACCCTAAATAATGTCCAACAGCATCGAGAAATTGGAGTGGTGTCTTTTGTCCTTGTCTCAGTTGTTCTCGCAGGCGAAATAATCTATACAGTGGAAACCGCCTAAGTAAAGACTGCTTAACTAAACAGACCTGATAAGTAAACACTTTTCTTTGGTCCCGGCAAATTTCTTCATTAATTATCACTATTAGAGTCTGGTTAACTAAACTCGGATAAGTAAACAATACCGCTTAACTAAACGTCTCTCACGGTCCCTGGAAGTAAATTACTTAACAAAAGAGACTGGATAACTAAATTAGCGATCACCACATAATCCGACATGAGGGGCAGTCGTGTCAGTCTCCAGTCAAACAAACATCCTGCTTACAGCCCGCTGGCGTCAAGCAGTTGACAATACACTGACAACTGGAGGCCAGCCCTGATAAGTTGTTCATTGTTACATATGCATACATATACATGCATACGGTTGTCATTTGCAGGTTTTTAGAAGTTTGGATAAGTAAAATACCTGATAAGTAAACAATTTTGGCGAGTCCCTTGTATATATGTTTAAAATTTATTACCTAACTGCTCTATTCTCTACGAAATCTCTACTCTGCTAAGTCTCTCCTACTCCTCTGTTCCCTGTTTAGGGCAACAGAAGAAAGTGCACTTCCTCCAAAGTTCCTGGACTTTTCAATTACACCGATAAAGGACATTACAAGAAAAACAGTCAGGTTAAATCAACACTTAGTGCTGAAAGGAAAAAGGGTACATTGACTCTCTGAATAAAATCAGGATCATTATCTGTTGTATCAGCTCAGTGCACTTCCCGAGCTATCCTATTACCTAATAAGGGGAGATGAGGAGTTGTTGTTTTAACAATGTGTGGTATTATTGGGATGTGGATGTTTTGGGATGTGGAAGTTTGGGGATAGAACAAAAATCTGTCGTACTGTGCATGAATCGTAATCCCACAAAAGTTGCTCTACGAGTTGCTTCATGAGAGTTTGCCTTCAAATTCGTGTACTTAAACTTTCGACTTTAGAACCTTTCAAGTCCGCAGAACCTCTATGTCCTCGTCCACTTGGTAGCATCGAGAGGGCGCGGATAATACAATATTTACTCTCATCATTTCGTGTCCAGTATATTAACATACTGTTGCAATATATAGGACATAAGGCAAGTGTTTTAGGAAGTGAGTCATTCTGTATGTTCCGTTAGGTTAGAGTGCGATGTGTGTTTCGGGATTTCTCGTAGAAATATGTTTATGTAATTTTCGTTCTCGAGAACGTTGGATCAAATACTCATATTATTTCACAACATCGCCTATATTGTCAACTCGAAGTTGTGGATGTGACGTGTGAACTATTCTCATCACATCCTTCAACTATCATACACGCTGGAATGCTAAAACTTGGTAGATTAGTTGGTTGGTTGGTTGGTAGATTGGTTGGTTGGTTGGTTGGTAGATTGGTTGGTTGGTTGGTAGATTGGTTGGTTGGTTTGTAGATTGGTTGGTTGGTTGGTTGGTTGGTAGATTGGTTGGTTGGTTGGTAGATTGGTTGGTTGGTAGATTGGTTGGTTGATTGGTTGGTTGGTTGGTTGGTTGGTTGGTTGGTTGGTTGGTTGGTAGATTGGTTGGTTGGTTGGTTGGTAGATTGGTAGATTGGTTGGTTGGTAGATTGGTCGGTTGGTTGGTTGGTTGGTAGATTGGTTGGTTGGTTGGTTGGTTGGTAGATTGGTTGGTAGATTGGTTGGTAGATTGGTTGGTTGGTTGGTTGGTTGGTTGGTTGGTTGGTTGGTAGATTGGTTGGTTGGTTGGTAGATTGGTAGATTGGTTGGTTGGTTGGTTGGTAGATTGGTTGGTTGGTTGGTTGGTTGGTAACGCCGCACTCAGCAATATTCCAGCTATATGGCGGCGGTCTGTAAATGATCGCATTTGGACCAGACAATATAGTGATCAACAGCGTGAGTATCGATCTGCGCAATTGGGATACGATGACGTGGTTTAAACATATTTTATTCTATTCAAGAAGAAAGAAAAGGATTGGCAAACAAGCCTAAATGGTTTATATTAATGCCGCTCCATAATACATGTGAAGGTTCACATTTGTGCAAAATACATATTTATAGTGGTTATAACAAGTTATCTCTGAATAATAACAATCATGGATATCAACAATTTATCTTGGTTCAGTTTCGTGGCCAGTTGATACAAATAAAAAATATAAGAGAAGCTACAAAACTTTATGAATCAAAACGTTTTGATGTAATAATGAATTGATGGACTGACCGTAGAATATCCATATTCGTCTGATGAGATACCGAGTTATTGCCATTTAGCACATCCCGCAGGGAGAACCCTTTCACATAGAAATACGATTCGTATCGAGTGGTATTATATTTAGGACACATGAAAAAATAGTGGAATACATCCTCATAATCTTGTGAGCAGGAACAAGAAGCATTCTCAGA